AAGAGTGTACAACCTGCTACATGTACAACTTTAGTTATTGTCTAATTTAAGTAGTCCGCCATACAGATAGATCATCTGTTTGGTTCTACACAAGCTGCTATAGCTGTAATCCGCTTATGAGTTACCTATTTAAACACTTTGTTCATCTAACTAATACCAGAATTAACTAACATCACTATAACACCTAACTGCTTAAGCCAGCTAGCTCGTTGCAGATCTATTTATCTAACTCAGCTTAGATCCTCTCGAGATGCGTATTGCTTAACATATTGTGGCATGCAGAGCTCCAGTTAACCTCATAAGCAATTCTACTAGAACGGTCCGTACCCATTTCACGAATTCACCTAGCTTAGACCCTTGCAAATATTTGTATAACCTCAGTTCCTAGCATAGCTCTCTACCAGTTTTCTGTGTCTATCTTCTCAGATATTTTACAAGGCAGATCCTCCTAATCCAGTTAGCCACTAAGCTAAGTTGGTGTTACCGATCTTCCCTGTGGAATGGATTTATACGCATCTGACTCGATTAGCATCTTTTGACGATAGTTTCCTTTCTGGATTAAGCATTAGCTAGTATGATTATCGAAAGCTGTACTACTTCACCAACTCGAGATTTCTACCATGCAGGTCCTCTGCTCATAGATCCTATCAAGATTTATTCATATAATATTATGCTCTCCGAACATTCCATCATACTTCTAATATCTGAATGATATTAGTGAAACATGATTTACAGGTTTACAATCTCAGAAACAGACAGGGTTTACTGTAAGTTGAATACAAAGGTCTGAGTAATTATTCAAATTCGTCGACAGTAGGATTTTAACCCCAAACCTCTTGCATAGCGATCTGACAACCTAACCACTACACTAAGATCACCAGACCTCACACTATATATTTTCTTACTAAAATCTTTAAAAAATATTAATAAAGAAATAATAATACAATCAAAATGTCATCATCTAAACGAATATTATATTATTATGATAAATGTAAAGAGAAAAAATATGTTAATCCTCGAACAAAACAAGATCATATAGCTTTATCTGATATTGGTACATCAAGTACAAACATCAAAATATCGGCTTCAAAATATAAAGAACCTCTTTCTGGATTTCTAAGTGAAAGTTCTAAAGATAGTGATTCTGAAGACAATAGTTCCAAAGACAATAATTCCAAAAATAATGATTCTGAAAATAATGATTTCGAAAACAATGATCCTGAAGACAATAATTCTGAAGACAATGATTCTGAAAACAATGATTCTGAAAACAATGATTCTGAAAATAGTGATTCTGAAAATAGTGATTCTAAAAACAGTGATTCTGATGAGAATGATTCTGAAAAAAATGATTACGAAGAAAATAATTATGAAAGCAATTAAAGTAAAGAATTAGAAAGCGAAAATGAAAGTACAACTAGTGATGCAAATAAAGATAATTTGGTATCTGGTACTGATACAATAGATTTATTTCTTGAAGATGACTTTGATATACAAACACCTACCTCAAGAAGATTAGCAAAAGGAAAATTTAAAGCACCTATAGATGATGATGAAGAGATGATTATTGAACTAACTACAGAAAAAAAGGATACATTTGATATTTATAACTTATCCGATGAAGACGATATAATGATAATTAGAGAAGATAATTATTCTTCTCCAAGTAGTTCTTCAAATAATTCTTCAAATAATTCTTCAAATGAATCTTCAAGTGATTCGCAAGAAAGTCATAATCCTGTAAACTTTATTCTACTAGAAATCGATCCTAAAATTTTTAAACTACTATTTAACATTGATAACAATCATCCAAATGATTAGATTACTTTATAGATAATAAAATATCAACAACATTATAATATTTCTAATACTGATATAGAATCATTAATTAAATTTCTTCGGCATTTACTTTTGTATTTTAAAATCGATAAAGCTGATAGGCTACTGACTTCTATATATACTGTGAAATTATCTTTAGGGATTTTAACCAAATATAGAAAGTATGCTATATGTCTGAAGTGTCATAAGCTCTATGACTCATCAGTAATTAAAGACTATGTTCAAAATAATAAGCTAGCAAGTATGAAGTATACAAATATAGAATATCTCTATTATCGAAATAAATTACAACGATTAGTATGCAATGAACCATTAGCAGTAAAGCTAAAAACAATAGATGGTATCTTATTATGACTATCGAAAATTTATCCAGTTAGAAGTATAAAGCAACAGCTCTATATGATATATCAGAGAGCTGGCTTTGAGAATATGTTGCAGTATTCTAGTAATAGAAATGTTCTGAATGAAATTTTCTTTGACATATATGAGGGAAATATTTGGAAAAATTTTACTATAAATTCAGAAAATCCTATACCATTTTTTACAAATGATACACTTGATAGTTATATCGACCTAGCAATTAATATAGATTAGTTTCAACTATTCGATTATACAGTTCACAGTACTAGGTAATTTATAGAGTATTGTGTAATTTACCAAGAGAAGAATGATTTAAACCAAATAATATATTAACTTTAGGTATTATTCCTAGTCCAAACAAACCAAGTAAACATCAAATTAATAATTATCTAGCTCTGATCATTGACAAGTTAGTTGATTTTGCTTCCAGTATAGATTTACTAGTAATATTCGAATATAAAAAAAGATGCAAAATTTATGTCGCATTGATTCTATCATCAAATGATATTCTAGCTACAAGAAAGATTTGTAGTCATACAAGTCATATAGTAAAATGTCATTACTGTTTAAAACGTGCAATATATAATAATTTATCTAAAAGAAGTCACTATAGTAGTTTTAAAAATATGAATGAATGGTTTAATCCAGTAGACATAACAAAATATTTTAATACAGCGAAAGAATAGTTAAATTGTATAAATAAATAGGAAAGAGATGATCATATATCTAAAATGGGAGTAAGATAGTCTGAATTATATTAGCTAAAATATTTTGATCCAGTTAAATTTATAGTTGTCAACTCAATGCATTGTCTATTTTTAGGTATTGGAAAATGGATAATGAAACAATGTTTATTGAATAATAATAAACTTAGCAAAGAACAACTTAAAATTAATGAAAAGCATATGTCAAGTACTAAAGTTCCAGCAGATATAGGCCATGTTCTATCAAAAATAACACAATAGTCAGAAGGATTTAGCTGATTAACTACAGATCAATAGAGAATTTTCTATCAGGTTTATGCTATTCCTTGCATATGGGATATGCTAAATCTTGAAGATAGAGAAATCTTCTTTAATTTTGTTAGTGCATGTAATTTATTAATAAGTTGAATAGTTAAACAAAGTGACCTAGACGAAGTGCATAGACAATTAATAAAAATAGCTAAGTTAATTGAGGAGAATTATGGTCCAGAATTAATATCGTCAAATATTCATCTTTCTCTTCATATTAGACAATATTGTCTTGATTATAGTCCACTATACGCTTATTAGTGCTATTTATTCAAAAGAATGAATGGTCTATTAGGTTCTTATCCAATAAGCAATCAGTCAATAGAACTAGAACTCATGTATATTCTAATAAAAAATACGCAGATAGAATATAGGATAAGTTTAGTTAATAGAAAGGATAGCAAATTACTACTGGACAAAGTTCTTTCACTTTTAA